TTTTGTAAAAGACATACATAATATAACTTAAAAAGTTAACATCCACATTAATATAAGCAATAATGAATACAAAACTTTATATTGTGCAAGGAATCGAACCCGCAACAATCGGAAGGAAAGCAACCGCCAGACTCCCGAAGCCGTCAAATTAATAAATTATAATAACAAAATATCATTGACATTTTTTTTATTCTTGTTTTAATTAATACAAATCGACATCACAATTATTATATTAGAACATTTGAAGTATCAGAAACATTTCATTCAAATGAACCATTTTTATTTTTATTTGTCACTAACTGTACCCGCGACTTCGTCCGCTTGGAATTTAACTTTATTTTTCTAAAAAAAAGATTGTTTTAAAGTAAAGGTAGCCTAAGTGTCTCCTTATAGCGTCAGCTACCTGCCAAAGAAAGTCCCGTCAAAATCGGTCCAGCCATTTCAGAGATTAACCGGAACAGACAGATGTACATAAATTGTAAAAAATATTATTTTGGTGAATGTGTATTTATATTCATATGCATGTAGTAAAAAAACGGTTGTTTCAATATTACAAACAGACACTCCAATGTATATAACAGTATTTTTTTAATTTAGTTTGTATTATACATAGTACAGAACCCGCTCCATTATAGTTGCACCCATACTTATCCGTAATTTATAAGTTTTGACTGAATCTTAAAATCCAGTTTTTGAACCGGTTGTCGACAAAAAAGCTATACACTTAATTTAAAGCCAGTTTTCGAAGGAGTTAAGTATGACAGTGATAAGTAAAATTTAAACATGTTTTAATGGAACATGAGACCGCAACAAAGTTATCAGCCAGTAAAAATTCGTAAGTTTTTTCAATGTTTTGTACTACCTGTGCCCGAGGCTACACCCGCATGAAATTTACAGCCTATAGTTTTTCTGGTGTATAAGCTATATTACTGTAAAGTTTCATCAAAATCCGTTCAGCAGTTTTTGCGTAAAAGAGTAACAAACATCCAACCATACTTACAAACTTTCGCATTTATACAATTAATAAGATAACATGTAACAAGCATATAGGTCTTGCCGTATTACACTACATTTAAAATTCAACAAATAATTTTAATAATCGCTAATACTTAACTCTGACATATTTCTATCTTAAAACTCTTCAGTTTAAGTATAGAAATAACTTAGAAGAGTTAAGCCGAGGAAAGTTAGGACACCTTAATTAGACTTCGCAAGTTAAAACAAGAGTAAATGACAATCTCATCCCAAACTCTGAGAGAAACTGTCGCACCTGCCGACATTGATTCATTTTCATAATAATGATTTAAGGACTTCCGAAACGGTCCCGCAGATTGGTTAAAACCTGACATGAATTTTGGACTTGTTTATACAATTTGGTCCCTAAGACGGATTAAATCCGAATTTATTATTTTAGTACTGACTATTTATCATAAATGAGGTTTATGTACATACTGACGTGTTTGACGAAACCATTTGGCGGTTTAGATTTTGGACTAGTGTATGCAATTTGGTCCCTTTGATGGACTAAAAGTCCATCCACATTTATTATTTTAGTACTGACGGTTTATCATATATAAAGTTTATGTACATACTTTCGTGTTTGACGTGTTTGACGAAACCGTTTGGCAGTTTAGATTTTGGACTAGTTTTTGCAATTTGGTCCCCTATATTAACTAAAAGTCCATCCACATTTATTATTTTAGTACTGACGGCTTATCATATGTAAAGTTTATGTACATACTTGCGTGTTTGACGTGTTTGACGAAACCGTTTGGCAGTTTAGATTTTGGACTAGTTTTTGCAATTTGGTCCCCTATATTAACTAAAAGTCCATCCACATTTATTATTTTAGTACTGACGGTTTATCATATGTAAAGTTTATGTACATATTTGCGTTTTTTTGTCTCTAAATCGACAATACAAGCACACAAATATATATATTTATATCAACAAAGTATATCCTAATGATTTTATTAAATTCAGTTATTCATTCATAATTTAAGAGCCACGCTTTTGTCGATAGAGCTCTTGCCACTTTCCACGATCTTTAAATGGTGACGCGACATGACTCCAATTTTCTCTTGACTTAGTTGTGCCTATGTCTTTTCCTCCTCCCGTTGTTATTTTTCCCTTAATAATAACTTTTATAATATCATCGTCCTGAATTAAGTGTCCTAACATTTTCGCTCGTCTATTTTCAATAGTATTCAATATCTGCCTTTTTTCTTTCACCCTGTGTAGTACCTACTTCATTTCTTACTTTATCTCTCCGTATTTTTTTAAAAGCATTAAATATATTTAAAATGTTGTAAGAAACAGTATACGTGAACATTACAACACTGAGGTCATTATTAACAACACACTGTTCATCATTGCAAACAGCCAAAAAAATTGTTATTACTTTCGAAAAAATTGTATCCAATTTATATGGTAATTAATCTTTTTTTAGATATAAACTTTGTACGGTACGTACTAACATGCTATCGTAATTACTATAGTTAATTAGTTATTTTTGTAACTGATATTTTCTCTGTAAATACCCATGAAACAAGCTTCAACTTTTCAATTTATTGACAAACATTTGAAGCCATACAAATTGGTTTGATCAAACTAAAATCTCGAGTCACAATGTTTGATATTGTTTATCACCAACCTTTCTCATATAACATTGTCTAACAATAATCATGTTTATTCAGTGAAAACTTTGAGTATAATTAAGTTTATTGAGTTTTATTCTAATGCAACAGGCATTGCAAGCACTGAAATATTCTATATTCAAACTTTTATAGCCTATGTGATATTCTGATGTATAATCTATATTACTGTAAAGATTCATCAAAATCCTTTCAGTAGTTTTTGTGTGAAAGTGTAACAAACATCGATGCATCCATACTCACAAACTTTAGTATATATAATACTAGTAATATTATGAATGTGTTTTCAAATACTCTCATCCCGTGTCACTAGCAAAACAAGATCGTAATACTACATAGTTCAAAACATAAATACGGTAATAAATATTTAATGAGGGAAACAGGGCAATATTTTATAGCACATGAAACCACTTCTACAGCATATTTTTCCAATACAAGTGGTATAATTGAATATATAAGTACCTGATATTGTTTATCATAACATTATGTGAAGCATCAACTTATCAACTCCGTATGTTATGATAATTATCCATACGAAGGAATTTGAAATTTAACACAATTAAAGTTTATATATATAAAGAAGGAGTACATAATAATAATATTTATTCTATAATACTTAAAAATACATTTAATGAACAAAACAAAAACTTTACACACATATATGAAACATAGTTTTTTTTTATTTTATTTAGGTTGCTTTGAAAGCGGTACCATGGTATAGGTTGTCTTTATGACAATCTCAATATCTATTATATATATATATATATATATATATGTAATAAAATTCAAATAAGTTATAGTCGATTTATATATATTTTTATTTCCTTTTCAAGTCAAAACAGCTAAACTGATCTTGACGCTATTTAACACGTATATACATATACATATATTTATTGTTTTTTTTCTTATTGTATTTCTTCTATGTACACAATAAAGAGTTTATTATTATTATTATTAATATTATCTATTACAAAAAACCGAGAAGAAGAAGATTTATATTCAAGAAGAAGGTTTATATATATAATACATGTACACCCGTGCGAAGCCGGAGTTGGTAGCTAGTATTATGTAAAATGCAGACAAAGACGCAGCTAACACTTAGTTCAGTATAAAAAAATAACGAAAGCAAAGATAGGAAGTTTCGATATCGATATATCCGTTTAGTAACACTTGCGGCTGTTCCGATGAAGTTTAATATCCAAATAGCTTATAGGGATGTGAAAAATAAATAGATTATAGAAAATAAAATATAACAAATACAAAGAATATTCAATAAATAATATTAATATTATTTATTGAATATTTTTTGTATTTTTAATATTAATAAAAAATAAAATATTTTTATTATTTTATTTGTAAAACGTATCGACTATTAATAATATTCTTTTTTTATCTAATATTCTCATTTATTTCGGAGGTTCATGCAATTATATTATTATTAATTAATGGATTTTTATTACCTTGTTTAATTCCGCTACTAAAAGCATGTGTGAATCCACAAATATTCAGTGCGCAATCCTGATGCCTACTGGAAGCATTACGACCTTCTCTAGTAGTGATCAAATTTCGTTGAGTCACCTATATTGCAACATGTATTTCGCCTCTGGACGAGACCAGGCATTGAAGAGTTCGGATATAGCTTAGAAATCTAGTGTAGACTGGGCGGCAATTGGAGAGTTGCTACTCGTAGCTGAGTTGAACAAAAACATAAATCCATTAAGTAATTAATAATTATTTAGTCAACATTAAGTTACAAAAAAATATTAGGTACATAAGTATTGTATATTACAATAATTATTTAATTGTTGTATTATATATACAATAAAAACATGAATCAGCTGTTTTTAATTGTAGAGTCAGATTAGGCAGTAAAATTACAGAATTAGAAATATATCATTTGAGTGGATTGGCACCGAATGAGTGACATTACAGGTGTCACCTGATAACGCGCTGTCTATAGTACTGTTCATGTATATAGGCGATAGTTACCAGTCTTATCAGCCAAATTGCTATTTCGATTAGGTACATAAGAAACCTTTTTTTAACCGATTTATTTATTCAATAAAATGTGAATGAGAAGTAAGTGTTCTAAGAAGTCAAGTCAGAGGGACGGTAAAAAAATAATAGAATATAGTAAAATCAATTTAAATCGATATTTAATCAATCGATTACCATACGAATACAAATATAATCGATTATAGTGAAATCAATTTAAATCGTTTAATCAATTGATTACCATACGAACACAAATAATCTATTTTTATATAGATTGTAAGTGTTGTAACATCCCTATGCGGACCCACTTCAATAAGAAGTTACATTTATTTCTTTTGGCTTTTGTTACAGGAATTCGACGAAATGAAGCAAGACGAAAGAAAGGGCGGGACAATAGTCCTTGAAAATTTCAATTCCACGTAAGTATCTGTAAATTGCATTACACGGTGGTCTAGCGGTTTAGCACACTGCCTTACTTCATATAGTCACGGGTTCGATTCCTCACATGGTACAAACATTTGCATTCGTGAGTATGATTGTTTGTATCGGTCTGGTCTAATATATGTATTTACTGTGAAAATACATATATTACATACATATGTATTTTAAAAAATGAATGTATATCAGTTGTCTAGTACCCACAATACAAGCTTTGCTTAACTTGGGACTGGATGGCTCTGTCTGAATTGTCCTGAGATATTATGTTATTATATGTAATATAATAAAATTGTAACATATAGCTGTCTGTATTTGGAAGGTATATGAGAAAACTATTATTGGAGACTCTATCAATGTAATCTGTGCGTTTAATAATGGCTTAACCGATTTAGTTGCGGTTTTCACTAATGTATAGTAGTATACATTAGTGAAATATACTTAATATGTGTTTATTTGATTCCAATAGGCCTGTATGTTTTTATTAGTTCTGTTATTTATTTAACATATATTTCATCTTAAATGAAAGATTGTTATTGTATGTTGATAAGTACAAATTTATTTCAATTGTTTAGAATAGAAAATCCTTTATTCAAATAAACTTAATTTAAGTAGTATTGAATAGTCATAGTTATATTTTTTTAATCTACCGCTTATTCCGAAAATTGTGTTATCACAAGAAAAACAGAAAGAAATTTGCGCGTTGCTCTTAAATAATTTAGTTGAAACTTCACATTTTTAATTTAAAATGTGTAAATACAAACTAACTAATACCAATTCATTAGAGTCAAAATATTAAATACACAGTTAATTCTTTTATAAAATTTTTAAATATCTGTATGCGGTAGTTTTTCTTAGTCTATAATAATATAATGTCTTTTTACGATTCGAAAAAATACTTTTTTGTTGGAAGTATCCAAGACTTTTCATATACATCGATATTTTTCATCGTCCCTAGATAATATTTACTTAATAATAATAATACTCTCAGGACAATTCACACAGAGCCATCTATACCCAAGTTAAGCTAGCTAAAGCTTGTTGTTGTTCTTCCAATCGTTGCGGGTTCGATTTCTCGCACGGTACAAACACTTGTATTCACGAGTATGTTTGTATCGGTCTGAGTGTTATCTATGTATAATATGTATGTATTTACGAAAAGAAATATATTAGATAGATATTTTTTTTATGTACCGTGCGAGGAATCGAACCCGCGACCATCGGACATAAAGCGGTGTGCTAGACCGCTAAACCACCGAGGTCGTCATATACTCGTATAATGGTATTGTGTACTTACTATTGTATTTAATTCTTTTATAGTCCCTCCACTATAGGAATTAAATACTCATTTCACTCTACTACAGATACAAATTATACGGAACAAGCCGGTAGCTAGATTGCGGTGCTACTCGCTTCAATTTGCGTATTGTGATTATACTCATTTTGTATCTCGGTTCCCACCCGAAGTTGTTATTATTTATAAAAGATGTTCCTTTTCCAACGAAAATCCCAACCTTTTGCTGGGCCAAAAAATGAAAAAGAAATTACAACATTCTCTTTTACTTTAGTTGCCTCATTAAGCATATTTATAATATTAGAAATAAGTACTAAAATTAAAATTTCAAGCTATCAAAATATGCTGTTAATTATAAATACGCCTACGTAAACTTTCATAGTCTATTTCTACTTTTTTCAGATTACTTTTAGAGATAAGTAACCTATGTCCGTTATCATGATACATCTGCCAAATTTTATAGATTTCCAGATTTAACAGATATTCATATAAATGTTACCGTTGTTACTATATTATAATTGTTGTTTTTCTTTTTATATTTGATGTACATATTAATTTATGTAATTGTTATATCTTTCTGTGAGAGGAACAATAAAGAGTTTTCTTTCATTCATTCATTTATCTCATTCATTCGTAATTTAAGAGCCACCGTATTGTCGGTGGACCTCTTGCTACTTTCTGCGATCTTCTATCGTGCTCTTTAAATGTTGTTACGACACGACTCCAAGTTGTTTTTAATTTGCTTGTTGTAACTGTGCTGGATAACCAAGGCACAGTTACATCAACCAAGTCACACCTTGTCTGTCTGTAAATGTCTGTATCGGTCTGGGTGTTTTCTATGTATATTATATACTAGCTTTTTAGCATGGCTTCGCTCGGTTTAATTTATCCCTTTAGGGGAAGTCTCAGCCCGATCAGTTTAAAATTGACAAAGTTTCATACAAACTTTCATCCCCTATCTTATCCCCTTGGGGGTAGAATTAATCAAAATCCGTCCTTAGGGGATGCCTATGTCATAACATCTACCTGCATGCCAAGTTTCAGCCCGATATGTCCAGTGGTTTGGGCTGTGCGTTGATAGATCACTATGTCAATCACCTTTGAGTTATATATATTTAGATGTCTTTAAAAAAATATCTAAGTATTTATATCAAGTGTTTATCTTAGGACTAAATGACGTATTTTTCCAGGAGCATTATTATTATTAATATTATTCTTAGTTCTATATATTTCTAGGCATACCCACATTTTGCTAGGTATATTTTTTATTTTATTTTATTAGTCATTTGTTTTAATTTTCGTTTATGTTTATAATATCCTCTCGTTTTCAGGGCCAACCTCGCGTCCAACCCAGGTTTCCAGTCCACATTAAGTCTAGGATCGAAAGAAGTCATCAATGAGAAGCCATACAATCCATTCGAACATAGAAATGTACAGCATCCTAATTCGTAAGTATCTACAACACTATACAGTGTATATAAACATATATTTTTTTAATAATATAGCTTTATTCAACTTAATTAGTAGAAAATATTTTACGTAATCACATTTTTGCATCGCACCGTTCGCCATCGGCAGGGAATTCATCCCCAGACCCTGGAGCCTAACTGATCTAGGACAGTGCGGTTTCAGAGGAGCTACCTCCCGCGCATATTTAGATTGTGAAATAAACTACATGCCGATATTTTCTCTAGAGACTAGAACATGGGGTTTTTCAATATTCAACTTAAGTAGAAATGTGAAATTAATGTGCATAATCACATCTTACCATCGCATCGCTCGCCGTCAACAGGGAATTCAATCTCACAACCTGGAATCTAAGTGGTCTCCCACAGTGCTATTTCAGAGGAGATTCCTCCCGCGTATACTTAGAATATCGAATTAATTACCAGCGTAGGTTTTCTCCAGAGACTACAATATGAGGTTTTCCTACATTAATATTTCTCAAGGGTCGGCAACGCGCACGTGACACAAGCGTCTATGGACGGTAACTGTATACTGTCAAATGGACTCTATGCTGAATATGTTTTATTATTTTACATAATAGCTAGACTGAAACACCCTCCAGTGTTTTCATTTATTATCAAATTGCCGTGTAACGTTTATTTATAAATTATTAAAAAAAGATGAGATTAAACTAGCTTGCAAGATTAAAGATGGTCACTTCTAATTTGGTTGTTTTGACGCTCATCTCAATATTCAATATTTATTGCATTCCACAATGTTTACAGTAATACCAAAATTAAGAGATTCCTTGTCAACAGAACTATTGGATCCTTGGTGCATCTCCTAAAGTCGTCCCTCGGGTCTGGCATCCTGGCGATGCCTGCTGCCTTCAAGAACGCCGGCCTGGCTGCCGGCGCTTTGGGCACTATCATTGTTGGATTCATTTGTACACATTGTGTTTATGTATTGGTAAGTTGTATATCTTTTTATATATAAGTAAAAATAAAATGAGGTTTATTAGTCTCACTAAAATTTGAGAACCACTGGACCGATTTGACTTATTTTGGTTTTGCAATATTTGTAGAACTTCAAGAAAGATTTAAGTGGTGAGAAAACAATTAATTAATTAAGAAATTGCATTAAAAATATTAAAAACAATTATTTTATATTCCCATACACACTGTTTGTACCTGTTCAACATTTACATGTACCACAGATAACATATGCATGTAACTTTCAGAAATTTATTCCGTAACTAAAGTTCAAAAAAACTTTCACATATTCCGTAATTCTAAGGCGGAAAGGAGTCGGCGGAGTAAGCTAGTCTTAATATATATAATTCTGCATGTGTGTTAGTCAGGTAACTCCTTCTAAACAGCTGAACTGATTTGGATGAAATGTGTGAATATTACTAGGGGTTTTTCGATGGTTTTAAAACATGATTGGTACCGGGTCCGCTAGTACACTTATAACTTCTAATATAGGTTGCCATCACTCTAAAAATATGTACAGAATTGTTATATAAAGAGACCTACTAAATTTTCTCATGAATAATGATGAATTTTCATGGTGCCAACGTCATATTTTTTTTCAATATCCTAAAATATCCTTAATAAATTCATATATTCCAGATTGTGTAAACTGGCCTTAGTTCAATGAACTGCTTTAGTACCTAAAAAAACACCAATTTACATTAAGTCAAAATATTTTCGTTAGATATATTTTTTATACGCAAAAAGTCATAATGACATATCAACACAAGGTAATTTTCTGTATATAAGAAATGAGTGACAACATATATTTGGCGAACTGCATTTACGATGATTTTAACATCATAAACACAGTGTCGTACTCATGCATTTTAATATTTATCATCTATTTCGCATACAAAACAATCTGTCAATGAGTAAAAAACTTATTTATCAGCCATTTCATTCTTTTTGTAAGTAAGAATAAATTATTTAAAAGAGCAACACACAAGTTTCTTGCTTGTTCTTCTTGTGATGAGACAGCATTCCGAATGAGCGGTAGATTAAAAAAAATGTTATGACTATTCAAAAGTGCTTCAATGTAAGTTTATTTGAATAAATGATTTTCTATTCTATTCTATTCTTTTTGACCCATTTTAAAGAGATAGAGATGACAATTTACGTTCATGAAAACTTGAATGACGTAACCTACTACATAATCAGATATATTCCTTGTATATATCTTGTAACACATACACTTACATTGTAGACAGTGAATAAACAGTCTACCTGTACTGATCATCTTGCCAAGTAAATAAATGCAATATTATTTGTTGTTAATATGTGGACATAAATTCTTACACCATTATCTCATGATTGTAGATTACAGATCGTTCATTGTACAATTATTTCAAATAAGATAATATTTACTGTGCAACCATTGTGCTGTTTTTATAACACTCGTATATGTGTATTTAATACTTCCTGATAATACATATTTATTTCAATTATTTAATTACCTAGGTCTTTGTTTCAACATACACTTATGTATGTATGGTAATTACATTAATGAGATGATAATATGTGTGAATATCGTATAAGGTTGACTCTGTAGGCTGTCCATGACATAACTTTTTAATTGTCTATTTTTAATATAATTGTCCTATATACCCACCGTACCTATATAAAATATATACCTAATCTAAATTAATCAATTTTTATTATTTATATACATATATTATTACACACCATATTACAGTAATTCGCCAGAGAACTAAGGTCACGGACATAGCTCTTCGCATCTGTAAGTTGAAATGGCAGTGGGCTGGTCATATCTGTCGCAGAATCAATGCTCGCTGGAGTAGGCGTGTTCTTGAGTGGAGACCGCGAATTGGCACACGTCGCGTAGGACGCCCCGCAGCTAGGTGGAGCGACGACATACATAGGGTTGCGGGTAGTAACTGGATGAGAAGAGCTGAAGATCGTGCCCAGTGGCGTGCCTTGGTAGAGGCTTATGTTCAGCAGTGGACTGCAGTGGGCTGATGATGATGATGATGATTATTACACACTGAGTTGTGTAAAAACATAGTCCAATTCCAATATCGATGTCAATACAATCCAATTTCATACTGATCATTTGAAACGGTATTACCGAATACTTTGATAACAGTGTCAGCAATTTTTTTAATTTATGAGATGATAATGTGTGTGAATGAAGACACTTAAGTAAGCTATGACACATAAAGTTACATCTTAGTTGAAATTCAATTGCAAATAATATACTATTAACTAGCTGTCCCGGCAAACGTTGTTTTGCCTTAAAATAAAAATAAAAATTGCCCTTGATACATATACGTATCTTAGTGCCATAACATATTTATACACATACATACATATATGATCTGCAGACTCAAGATCGTAAACTGTCAAAAACTTGTTTCTGTCACAAGTTCTCGGGTTTTATGATAATTCTGTCGCAACGGTTGAGTCGTTTTGTTTTGTTTCATTTTAATTAGAACTTGTAAACTTTTAAGCACGGAATTTACTTCTTAGTAAGTCTGTGGTAATATTTTAAATGAATAAATATGAAATAAAGCCCGAGTACCGCAGTCCTAAGTATAGTTTACAAAATGTCAGTGGGTCTCTTATGGGAATGGGTAAAAAAATTTACAATGAATTATTAAAGAATAATTCCATTATCTTTAAATAAATTGAAAATATCTGTTTAATCATATTTATTGTGAAAAGCCTATTACTCACTAAGCCATTACTTAAATGACAAACGTGCGTGAACAACTATTGCCTGAACTGTAATAGTTGTACCGTTGTGCAGTAAAACGCACGGAATTTTCATTTAATGTTAGACATTAACACTATATAAGAACACAATATAAATAAAATAGCTTTAAAAAAAGAAATTCAGTTGAGTTTCCTGCCAGTTCTACTCAATTAAATTAGTACTTAACTGGATAGTAGGTCATCAAGAATCATCCTCATCTGCTTCTTCCTTATCCCATTTATTTGGGGTCGGCGTAATATGTTTTTCGCTTCCATTATGATATAAAAAAAAAAAATTCATCCCTGTTCGCAGTCATTGCGTTATTTACTTCCTTTCTTACCATATCATCTTTCACACAGTCCATCCATCTCTTTTTCGGCCTTCCTCTGCCCTTATCTACATTCATATGTAACACCTTTCTTAAAAAATATTAATACAAAAAACTTGACGTTCAAAAGCGACTAAACTGTCCTACATGAAAAATTATTTTTGATCTGATTTGAAACCTATCTCTATTTTCTCCAAACCAAACTGTTTAAAAGTATATGAAGGGTGAGATGACAACTCAGTCCCCCGAAACGGTAGCGCATCAGTGATATCTCGAGTGTTGTATGATAACGTGATGTCCGTTGTGCTGTTCATGTATATAGGTGACGGTTGCCGTTTACTATCAGGTAGACCATCAGTACCAACTTTTCTTTTTGGACTACTTTAATGCTGTTGGCCGCAGCTGGCCTTTGCATCTTCATCGTATGATAGGAGGGAAATGCAGATGGCACTCGAAACCCGCGGAAGGACTTATGGAGCAGCTGAAGGCCAACTTCCGCCAGACGGATTCGACTTTAGTCTAAGGGCACTGCCTGGGGGTTCGGACCTCTGATCAGGCCGTCGTAATTTCGATCCGCGTTTAAATTACCGTATAATCAAATTGCACTTCAAATTTTATAAAAAAAAATAATGAACAAATTCTTATACCTTTCTTTCTTTAACAGGTAAGGACATCACAAGAACTATGCGTTGATGCAAAGAAGCCATCTATGGGATTCGCAGAGACATGCGGCGCGGCGTTTGAATATGGACCTAAGAGACTTCGACCGTGGGCTAATTTTGCAAGGTAACGTTGATTATAACGTTTTATTAATAAAATGGTATTCGTTAACCTAAAATAATTCATAAAAATAAAATTATTTTTAACTATTAGGCCTTTTATCACTCTAATTCGACCTAGCCACTGGAAAAAGTATCAGTTTGTTTACCATTCAGGTACGTTCATATAAAAAATACTTTACGTATATCCTACAAAAATGTTGTATTCAAATTAGATTATATTTATATCTCAAGTCATAAATATACAATTCTAATTTATTCAAACACCGAAGGCTTTATATAAATTGGTGTTATATTTACGTATATTTATATATACGTAAATATAACACCTTCTTGTCCTTGTCAGTCCTTGAATGTGTCTAAATAAATCTTATTTTCTCTCTTCGTAACTACGTGTCACGTGACGTCTCATTTATACTCATATATCCGCACGTGATTATTATAAATCACGTGGATAAGTTCGTAAAAATACGTGCCGAATGCGAAATATTGCCCTTTTCTTATATTGTTTAACGGCCGCGATGGTCTAGCGGTTAAGTACACCGCTTTTTTTCTGATGGTCGCGGGTTCGATGCAGCATTTGTATTCATGAGTATAGTTGATTATGTCAGTCTTGGTGCTTTCTATGTATAATATATATGTATTTCCAAAAATAATTTAAAGCTTATGATAAATATTTAAATATTTATCATAAGCTCAAGTATAATATGTATGTATTTCTTTATATACCACAAGCTCTGCTTAGGTTGGGTCTAGGTGACATTGGGAGAACTGTCCAGGGTTACTATTATTATACTTTCCAATTAAACATAAAAATAATAGACAAATTTAGTAGATCTATTACTAAAATGGGATTATGGTTAATTAGACAACTGATGGGCATACTTAACTATTAGTCCGCGAGCCAGATCCTAATTTGTTAATCATTTCCGATCGGCTGAAAATAAATATGACTATTCAAAAGTTTATTAGTATAAAAATGATTTCTTTATTTACAAAAACAAAAATACTAAAAGTCTGACTAACCTTGCCACAACGTAACGATATTATATACAAAATTACAATGTTACAAAATGCGTATGCTAGGTATACGCATTTTGTAATATTGTAATTTTACATGATGTATCTGTCTTGAGAGTACAAAATACAGACTGTTTCTAATTCAATTCGACGTAAACATATTTTTGCCTAAATTAAACAATTACCTTTACGACAAAACATTAACAAAAAATAACAATAACCTAAGACAATTCACACAGCGTCATCTAATTAATATTTGTTTTTGTAATTATATAACAATTTTTTGTTATTTTATATAGTCAAACGGGATGTTTGTATTTTTTTATTCTATATTTTTCTATTCAATTCTGGAAAAAATATTAGCCCAGTAATACCAACATTATATTTCAATTAGTGAACCAATTTTTAGTACAGTCTTAATCTTGTGAGAATACTTAGTCATTCATAGTCCATACCAATTCATACAAAGAATAAATAACAAATAACCCTGAACAATTAACACAGAGCCATCTAGTCCCATGGTAAGCAAAGCTTGTGTTATGGGGACTAGAGAACTGATATAAATACTTAGATATTTTTTTAATAAATACATACGTAATATACATAAAAAACACCCAGACCGACACAAACAATCATGCTCATGAATACATGTTTGCACTGCGCGAGGAATCGAACCCGCGACCATCGGAAGTAAAGCGACTAAAGTGCTATACCACGGAGGTCGTCAAAATATTTATATTATTTATTTTAATTTACAGAACTTTTGTGGATTATGCATTAACCTGTACTTATTTGGCTGCGCTCTGCGTTTACGTGGTCTTCATTGCAGAAAACTTCAAAGAGGTAACATTTTTATTATTATTATTACTTGAAAACACTAACTTACTCTTTTAGTCACTAGAGGATACGCAACGATTCAATTATTTTAAGGAACTTAAGAAGGAAAGTTAAATTTTTTAATTAAATATAGGTTAATTTAGTGTAATAATTGTATTATTTTGTTTTTATATTTAAGATAGTTTATCTACTTAAGATTAAAGAATCCATTTTTTTCTTATTATAATTTAAATTATATTAAAATATTATATGTTATATATGTCGCGTTTCTGTGTAACATTATGCAAAAAAGTACTGTTATAAGTAATTGTTGTAGCCTGAGTGATTGGTGTTTGAAATAGGTATAACCTATAATTCAAATCACCAGGACCTTAGCTAAATAAATTACGCTTAAATAACAATACTTACCAGACGCTTATATGGTAACAGATTGTATTGACCTTCAGACTTCGTCAGACTATATTAATCAACATCTGTTACTTAATTAGGTAGTAACCTGTCTAGATTAGGTACGTATTAGGATACTGTAATAGCAAACTAGCGACATTACATGATGTAAGTGACAATCACCGAAACATGAATAGCACTATATGTACAATTGTACATCACGTCGACGCTTGTGATGTCCTATGCCATTCCGAAAGACTTGGATATCTCTATCACTATAAGTACATCACGTCGATGCTTATGTTATCCTATATTGCATTGCCATTCCGGACTTGGGACATGCGTCGGTACTCTTTAATTCCACTGCCATATCACTGAAATAGAGACCAAAATAGTCTAGACAGAAATACCACAGCAAAAGTAATATTATACTGAGAGGTGTCCCCGAGCACTCAAACATTGAAGGCAATAAAAATGCCGACTGGCAGGTCTAACCACCTGACAATAGCCTAAACCCCCCAATAAAGAAAAAATATCACATAAACGACTTCGCACAAAGTCTACTTCAGTAATACAATGTCTATAGTACAAAACTGAGGTGCTTGGGCTAGCATGGACCGAATTTAGGACAAATGTTTCCGCACTCAAAAAACTTGGCATTATACAGCGTCTTTTAATTACAGCAAAATCAGTTATTCTTATCATCTTCGGTCACATCTTGCGAAGAAAATACGCATCTATAGAGCGGCTTGTCATAGAATCTAGGTTGACAGTAATAGACCACTTGATCTGACACCTATTTATCTTGATCTTCGGACACGTCTAACGAAAGAACGACGCTTTCATAGAGCGACTTGTCATACAAGCTAGAGTTAATGGTACTAGACCTTATGATTGATCACCCAGTCGATGGACCGACCAAGTCAAAGCAGCTCTGGTAGGGTTACCCTACTATATTATGTCCATGACCGTTCTGTCAAGAAAAAATCGAATAAGAAGTATCGTCTAGATGACGTTACGTAATATATCTTGGTTTATTTAATCAATATGAATCTTTTCAGGTCCTAGATGAGTATGTACCGGACTATAAACTCTCTGTTGAGACATATTGCGCTCTAACTCTAGTGCCATTGGTGCTGATTTGCCAAATTCGGAACCTCAAATGGTTGGTCCCGTTCTCTGCCATTGCCAACATATTCCTCGTCATCTGCTTCGCAATCACCATGTACTACATCTTCAATGGACTACCAAATCCAGCTGAGAGGGAAATGGTCGCCAGTGTTACGCAATGGCCTTTGTTTATAAGGTAAATTGTTATTCTACTTTTGTGTATTATACTAGATACTAAAAGGAGAAGTTGATTGTTAATAATGTGGACCAATAAACCTACAGACAGCAATGAACCATGTCAGGTTGATCTCTACGCGGAAACCACTCCTGGATATCATCGTGATAAATTACTAGGGAATGTACATGTAAAATGGTGTAGACCTTAACGTAGGCAGTGTGTCATTCCATTATCATTCATTAAAAAAATACTAGACCTACCTATACTACCTAATTACACTAATTGCACTAATGCCATGCCTATTATTGTAGATATTGAAGGGCTTTTATTTTTTTTTTAATAAATTAGAACATATATAATATACTGATAACAATACAAGTAATATACTATACAATACAATACAATATATTATATATATAATGATAATAATGATGATTCGAATTTATGACTTGAGTTACTTGTTTAAGGTAAGGTATATATTAATACTTTTTTACATGCTTTAGGGGCATAATGCTGGTATAATTTTGAACACATTGTAAGTTATCGCAATTTTTTTGCACACTTTATTATTAGTTAACAGCGTTCTTTACTAAAGTTTCGTAAGGTTGCATTATCTGAGATTTTAGGTAAGCTTTGTAAACAGCTGCGAAGCTTTCTGAATTTGAAAGAATTTATAAAACAGGTTTACTTTTTTGTGTTTATCAAATACAACCAAATATAAGCTACTTTTTCTCTTTAAAATATTAGTGTTTATTTATTCTTTATGGCTTTAGTTTTAGTTCGTAAAACTTGTACTTTAATTTTAGTAAGAAAATCCCGATATTTGGTCTAAAATATATGTATAAAAAAAATGTAATTGTTAGTTTTTGACACATATTTCAATTATAATATACACTACTATTACCGAACCACTGCTTTCTACGCCACGCCGTGTTGAGTTCAGTGGAAAAGATCTCTTCTAACTATAGTATGTACCATCGCTCACATTGTCTCTAATTAACATTGCTACCCACCTACCACATTGCACTCTAAAATAGACTAATTAAATTACTATATAATAGTTATATTATCTTAAGTAGGCACCCGCCCCGGTTTCGCACGGGTGTACATATAAACCTTCCTCTTGAATCACTCTATCCATTGTTAACAACTGCATTAAAATCTGTTACGCAGTTTTATAGATATAAGTGAAAGTGACTTCATTTTTACACTATGAATAAGATAATAAAGAAATATAAATTAAATATCAATATCTCGATAATTTAATTATAAATTTGCGTAGTTCTGTAGAAAAGTGAAAATATCTGTCGTATATTTTTTTTATGTAATTGGAAACAAGCCAATTTGATTGTAAAGATGGCAATTCGAAAATGGACTCTTTATTATATGGCACGTGAATTTCTATTTTTCATTTGATTATATGTTTTTCAAGATTTACTTACTGTTTAATTAACAGATTCCTATTGTATTTTTCCTAAAACTTGTTATTTAAGTTAAACAATTCAATTTTTATGTATTTTATATAGTGGGGTATGTTACATATTACATGTTTTACATAAGAAAGGTTATGGTGGGGCATGACACTAAAAAGTTTGGGAAACACTGCTCTAAAGCAACTCCCGTATGTGGGCCCCTGAATATCACCCCCTTTAATCACATACATATTACAATAATCTGCATCATTAAAACAATTACATACAAAATCGATCTCTATTCTGTTCACAGCACGGTTATATTTGCAATGGAAGGCATTGGAGTCGTGATGCCGGTCGAGAATGAAATGGCGAAACCTGAACAGTTCTTGGGATGTCCCGGTGTTCTCAACGTGGCCATGACTGTTGTGATATCTCTGTATGGGATCGTGGGCTTCTTTGGTTACATCAAGTATGGAGATGATGTGAGAGGCAGCGTCACTTTAAATCTACCGCAAGATGAAATGTGAGTAAATAAGTTATCAATTATCATTATTAACATTTAATCATCATCGTAGACGATGGTGTAGCAGTTTAGCACGCTGTTTTACTTCCAATCGTTGCGGGTTCAATTCCTCGCACGGTACAAAAATTTGTATTCATGGGTATGATTGTTTGTATCGGTCTGGGTGTTTTTTATGTATTTATAAATTAAAAAGAATCTATGTATTTATATCAGTTGTCTAGTACCCATAACACAAGCTCTGCTTAACTTGGGACTAGGTGGCGCTGCGTGAATTGTCCAAGGATATTATATTTATATATCACGTTTGGACAATTTCTTTTTTATACTACGATGCTGGCAAACAAACATACGGTCCATCGGATGGTAAATGATTACCGTAACCTATGGACGCCAGAGACGCCAGAGGTGTTACATATGCTTTGCCGACCGAGGTTTAATAAGAAACCTTAATATACCCTTCTTGATGAACCCTATACTGTAATATCGTGAGGAAACTTCGGCAGGTAGTTCATTCCATAATCTAAGTGTACGCGGGAGGTACGAGTTCAGTCTAAGTCCTAATAATAAATATGCGGACTTAGACCGTTGGGACTTAGAATAAAAAATTCTGTCAATTTATGTTTCTGACTCTCCGGTGATATTAACAAACCAGAGATAACAACCCCAGTTTTGTTAACCCTTAACAAACCAGAGACGACGAGGAGACTAATTGCCACGTTGGTCTCAAATGTACCATGTATTAATAATGACTCTGATCACCCCATCTAAGGTAATAATCGTGAAGGTACTCTATTATACTACAACAACTCATTTTGGATAGACCGTTATTCTGGGTCTTGTTTTGATGTTATAATAGTGCATCTATATATTATCTATCTAATTAAAATTTCATATTCTCTCTACTAGTTGTTCCCGCAACTTAGTCCGCGTGGAATTTAGCTTTATTTTTCTAAAATAAAAGTCGCCTAAGTTACTCCTTATTACATCAACTACGTGCCAAAAAAAGTCCGTTCAAAATAGATTCAGCTATTTCAGAGATTAGCTGGAACAAACAGACAAACAGACAGACAGACAAATTTTGTAAAAAAAATATTTTGATTTATGTACCGTATTTATATTCATATGCTTCTAGTAAAAATTGGTTATTTCAATATTACAAACAGACACTCCAATTTTATTTATATGTATATATGTATAGATAAAGGTATTTACCTATCTCGACGTTTCGACTAGCACTAGCCGTGGTCACGAGTTGCTTTTATGGCAAATAAATACCTTTATTTGCCATAACATTATTCGAATTAAGACCCGATCAATAATTTAAATAATAATGTAGTATATTTTATTACATCGATCTTTAATAGACATCATTTTACATAGTTTATTACATAAAAGTTCAGAAATATACAAAAGTATATCAAAGAAGAATAAAAGGGAAACACAGACATAAATGATAGGACTATCATAGAACAAAGGTTTTCGCATAAACAATGCCGAAAGAATTCATAGAAAATAAAAAAAAGTACAGAAAGTCGTTTCTTTGATACATAAAATACGATTTACATAAAGACCGTAAAGTACCCTTAATACCTAATAGCCCAAGAGCCCATGACAGGCATACATACGTCTTATTAATAAATGTGAAAGTTCTTGTATGTGAGTCCCTAACACAGGTATGAACGATCCCCACACATGAAACCTGGATCGTGGTTCCTTTGGCAGGTAACAGGTAACAAAAGTGTAAAAATAATATACTTTAGGGGTGCCCGGCGGGGGGTTGGAACCATACTAAGTGTCTGGCAATAAGCAGCGCCAAGTTATAACATTATTATAAACAATATTTTATAAAAAAAATTAGTTTCATTAATTAACGAATTTGATATGAAATTGTATACACCGTTGTTACCCAATATACGCTTTCAATGCGTCTGGTAGGATGATAGAACCAACAAACTGTCTGGCAATTAAGGAAACACAATTTAATAGTTCTCGGTATAATATATATAAAATTTATTCTTTCATAATATAACGTAAATATAATTGGCTCTTGCTGGGGTCTCTCTCTTGTGGGCACTTGCTCTATAATAATAAATAGCTGGATAAATACGTCTTTGAAATGAAGTCTTTTCATAATTATAGGGTCCAGTCGAGTCTTATTTTCTAGGCTTATTAAATATCAACAGATGGTTGATCATAGAATAGAATAGAATAGAAAATCATTTATTCAAATAAACTTACATTGAAGCACTTTTGAATAGTCATTACATTTTTTTAATCTACCGCTCATTCGGAAAGCTGTCTCATCACAAGAAGAACGAGCAAGAAACTTGCGTGTTGCTCTTTTAAATAATTTTATTATTACTTTACTTTACCACACGAACACAATACCAGCTACTTCCATTTGACCGCATTCAGAATCGAGCAGCCAAAATCATTGGTAATCAACGTCTATGTGGCAGACTCGACCCATTGGCTTTGCGGCGAGATATTGCATCTCTGTGATATATGCGATAGAAAATGTCTATCGCATATATCACGGGGAGTGTTCTTAGGAATTATTCGGATTAATACCAGCTGCTGAGTTTCACCACCGTACTACCCGCCAGAAACGGAAATACCATCCTGATCATCTGGATGAATGGCGGTCTTCCACAGTGCGGTTTTCTAGAAACTATTTGCCACGCACAACCACATTGTGGAATTACCTTCCAGCAATGGTATTTCCGAACCGATACGATATTGAAACCTTCAAAAAAAGAGCTTATTCCTTTTTAAAAGGCCTACAACGTACTTGCAATTCCCCTGGTGCTCATAATAAGGGTGGCGGTAATCACTTACCACCAGGTGAGCCGCAAGCTCGTTTTTCCCCTAAACGAAGTCACGGGCACAGCTAGTATATAATAAAATAAAAGTGGAATTTATATGTCGGATCAGATCCAAGGCAGTCTGCTAATTCGAATACCAAAGCCGACAGTTATACAATGCGTGACTACTATAAAGGCTTTTTGTAAAAGATTCATATTATTATTTCTGTTTGTTTCAGTCTTGCACAAAGTGCGAAGATACTAATGGCTCTAGCGATCCTGTTCACATACAGTCTACAGTTCTATGTCCCTATGGAGATGATATGGCGGCAGATACACGAACGTGTCTCTGTGCGTTATGAGAACATCACGCAGATCACTATACGTACCGTCGCTGTTGTTGGCTCAGGTAATTCATAATTAATATAGGAATGCATTCCGTCATACTCGTGAACGGGTGTTGCTTGTAGGGACTAGTCTGTTCAGGTTGCGAAGACTGATTATATTTTTTGTTTTTTGCAATAGCATATGCTGGTGGTTACTTTATTATCCCAAATTTGAATTTAAATGACTCTGTATTATTGTAAATATGTACAACATTTATTTGAAAAGAATACGAGCTGAGTTTATTGTCAGTTCTTCTCATTTCGAAATCATTCCAAAACCGACGGTAGATTTGATATATCATAAGAGTCTGAATAGACCTACATGAATAAAGATATTTTGAATTTGAATTTTGATGTGAAGTAATAGTTGATTAATTTATCATAGATTTTATTTTTCATTTAAGATTTTTTTATCCAAATGTAAAATCAAATAAGTAGTGGAAAAAAACATGAACACTCCAGACACTGGGCAAGCGGTCCTAAAATTAAGAATTTTTGTGAAGTATTTTGTACTTTTTGATGGAGAGTCTCTTTGTTCATGTTAATAATCGGAAAATAATGATATGAATATAGGATCATGTCATTATTTTCCAATTATTATCGTGTTTATATGTAATTATTATAGCATTATAAACATGATTATAATTGTAATTACGGTACGGTAAGCACTATAATTCCTTCCGGACCATGACAATTGTTACCTAATCAAAATATATAGTTTTTTACTAAATGTTTTAACTGAGTAGTAGGGTGATTATTATATTATTAAGAGAAAAGATTTCGTTTCAAACACAGTTTCTTTTTCTATTATTTATTTAATTGAGGCTACTAATGGCCCATATTTTAAATACCTTACAGACATATGAATGATATTGAAATTAATATAAAATATACATAATCTATGTGCTCGCGGCAATGATAATGGCAACTTACACGGTAGCGCCGATACACCGATTGTTATTATTCTTTTTATGTAATTTGAATCGCAAGCAAACAGACCGGCAACGGGTAAGAGGTCTTGACGCCTCTATACATGAACAGCACCAAGGATATCAATCATATGGCGCCCGTGGTGCGTTGCCATTTCGGGGACTAACATAGCATGCTTCTTATTTTGTAATTTCACTGCCTAAAATTGCTTAAACACAGCTGAAAACAAGCTGCTTGGCAATAGATAAATTTACAATTCCATCGGAAATTGTCCAGCAGTAATTAACATACATTGTAAAGCTTAATATTTGTTTAATAGCAGTGTTATTATACTATTTTGATCTGAATAAAGGCTATATTTTTTTTTACAGTGGCTTTGGCTGCCGCCTTCCCTGACTTGGAGCTCTTCATCAGTCTCTGCGGAGCGATCTTCCTCTCCAGTCTCGGTCTACTAACGCCTGCCATTGTTGACACCGTCCACAACTGGGACCGAGGTCTGGGCACCTTTAACTGGATCCTCTGGAAGAACCTATTCATCTCCTTGATATCCCTGATCGCTTTGTTCGCTGGTTCCTACGTATCTATCCAAGGCATGGTCCACAAGTTCAGTGCAACCAACAGCACCTTAGAGATGATACAACCTAATAGTACAATTAATGCAATTAATGGTACATTAGTTTTATGAGCTGTGATTACTGAATTTAACTCATAAAATTAAAATAAAACGCCTCGTATGGTTGTGCGTATTTCTTCTGATACATTATCGTCGTAGGCTCTTTTACTTACCTAATTAGATTATTTTAATAATTAATTAAGTAAATCGACCTTTATATTTGTAAATTTTACTTACATAAGTGCGATAATAAAACTCACGATGAATTTGTATTAAAAAACTTAAAAGTGTTAAAATTTATCGTAAGTTTATTACGTAAGTTAATCTTACAGATGTAAAGTGTATATTATAAATATTGACCGCTAACAGTGATTGGTGTTTTTTTATTAAATTTATATTTTATATTATACATTTAATTCACAAACATCGATTAAATCTATACATATAAGAATCGATCAAATGCATTGTATCGATTTAAAACTGTTCTGCGGTTGTGACTTCGTGATAGAATGATTGTATGAATGTTAGACATTACGTTAATAAAAAAATATACTTTATAAATCACATCACTAAATCGTAAAGATGTATTTAAAGTTTAAATAGTGTTTTTGAATATTTAATATTTGTATATATTGACGATTGACATGTATTTATTAAAATTTTCTATTTTTCTAATTATTAATCATGACAATCGTGAAACGATAAATTTACATATTATATTTATCATTCCCCGTTATGTTTCCATTCAAAATCGATAGATTTTATTCTGAAGCGTGCCATGACTATAACCTATGAAACTGTAAGATTTTATCGATAGAACAAGCAAGGAATATAACATTATAATGGAATTAGAGACAGATAACATGGTAAAAAACTTACAATAATAATTTCATCGAGATATTACAAATAAATAATTTAACCTAATGCAACATATCTGATATAGATACATATATTAATGAATGATAAATGAATGGAATGCGCTAACGGTTTACGCTGGCACCAGTGAAGGATGATAATAGAAGTATTTTCAAAGGTCAGTTAGCACATTATAACGAATGAGAAATTAAACACAATAGTTTCCAGAGGGACAAATTGCTAACAATCTCCTTGCGCCCCAACTACATATATCAATACTATAATATCTGTTTTAGTACAATATTCAAAATGTATTTAGTATTGCCAATTAATGGTGTGCTTGTTTAGTATGAAGGATGTTGTAAACATAAACTTCAACGATTTAGCCAGTTGCCCAACTATTATGAGAATGAACTTTACAGGCTTTAGTTATTACAAAGTGTAGTTTATTACAAATTGATGATAATAAGTATTCTTAACCTATTTTTTTATTTTATTAAGAATAAGAAGATGTAATGTCATTTAATTTACGGTAATTTACTAGGTTAAGGTAGTCCAAGAGACTGTAAACTAGAATATTATTTTTAATCGTACGAAAACTGATAGTAGTATATGAAATTTTAAAAAAATGTATTTTAAGAAAAAATCTGTATATACAAATGTAACTAAAAGAAAAAGATAAGCTGTAAGCATTGCCATGACGATTCCAATTAATCTGATGTTTTATCAATTTATGAATATAAAATAGTTACCATAGTATATAAAATTTGAGAAAATAAGGTTTTATTTAAATCGAATTTATGTTTCATGGTTTCAACCTTAGCTATTTTGTTTTGCTACTTTAAATAACTACTAATAATAATGTTAACAGTTAAGTAAGTTTATTATATATTTAATTTGTTAAGGATCAACACGTAACACTACATATATGATGACTGCGTACAAACAAGCGTCGTTAGTAAGGTTAGGTTTTAGTATGAATTGTAATTGTTACTGAGGGAAACCCGGTGATGACCTAATTCTGAAATTATAGCTAATGATGTTTATGACGAAATAATTAACTACTTATTTACGCTTTTATAGAATGGTTTTTGTCTATCCTCGAGAAGATAGATAATCTGTCTTCACGTCAAACTTCATTACAATTCTTTCAGCCGTTTAGACGTAAAAATATAAACAGACACACCGACGTACTTTGACATTCATAATATTAGGAGGAATTTGTGCCAATTGTTTCTTTAAACGTAACCTAAACGTAAACGTAACTTAAAAAACTAAACTTACAAACGTGCATTGTACGTTTGTATATTAAATGTACTATTTTAATTTATTAATATAACAGAATTGATAATGAAGATATTAAAATACTAGTAATATTGTAATACTAGAAATACACTGTATATATTTCCATTTAATCATATACCGAAGATATAACAAGTCGTAAACCAAGGACAATAATTATTCTTTGAAAAACTGTCCTCGTGGAATGAAAGAGGAAGTAAGAAATAACTTTTATGCCATTTTTACGAATGATTAAAAAAATATTTTCTTATCTCGACCCAATTTTCATGAATACAAATGCTCAGTTTTATAAATACTACAGCGAATTTCGTCTTGTTATTTCTTCATGTATACAATTTTTTCTTTGTATAATTGGTTATTTATTCCTATTGATCATTTATTACTTCACATTCTGCCATATTCTGATAAATGTTTCTACTTTATTCCGAATACATCTTATAAATATTTTCCATTTAATTTCTATTAGCGAATTTGTTAAATAAGTATATACATATATATATAGAAAAAAAGAGTAAATAACTATTTTGACTGTATCCCATAAATATAAAAATAAACAATTTTCGTTTAATCCCTATTAACTAATTACTTAATTAAGAAAAAAAATAATTATTTTTATAAAATTATATATAAAAATAATATTCTGACTGTCGTAATTCATCCGTCCAAAACAGTGAAGTACAATGAATATTAAGTATAACTTGTTTAGTTTTTATATTGAATGTTGTGAATTGATATGTGATACGTAATATTATATAAATACATAAGGATAAATTTGAATAAACGATGTTAACACAATCTTTTTTATTAAAAAGTCATCTAACAAACCTTAATTTGATTGTATATTACTTACTGTTAATTTAACATATTATTAAACTGTATAACCTTGACAAGCCTGTATTGATCTTATAATGAGTTTTATATATCTTCTCATATTTTTCAAATGAGGAATTATTATTTTTCTGTACACACTTTCAACTTAAATAATTTTTATTCAAATAAACCTAATAGAAGCACTTTTGAATAGTCATATCATATTTTTATTATAACTGTCATGCGGGAAGGAAACACGCAAGTTTATTGCTCGTTCTTCTTGTAATGAGTATTGCATTGCGTGTTGCTCATTTAAATTGATATTTTCAGCATTATACATTTATTTACATTGTGTATGAATACAATCTGACAAATATCAAGAATGATAAAAGTAAATTAACATAACAGCTACATGAGTAACAAAATATATAAGTAATCTGTTTGTATTGGGTATGGTAGGCTACAACGAATTGCGGGTGCGGAGAGAGTTATGCCTAGTGTTATATTTATTTGAATTGATTAGGGGTAAAATTAACAACAGCCAGGTGTTGAATTGTGTGGAGTTCTGTGTTCCGGACAATGTATGATGTCGTCGTCGACCGCGACTGCTGGCTGGCTGGCTGCCGCGGGGGCAGCACATACTAGGCAATGCACCGCAAATAGATTTATTTTCTTGTCCTCTGAATGAGTTCACGAAGATCACTTTATTTATTATAAGTTACAATTAATTTAAATAAATAATGTTTGCTGCACTATTGTATTTTTAAAATCACTAGTATCCTGACGACTTAGGCGTAATACCGGTTAGTCAGGGGAGAAACACCTCAATGCCTACAATATTCACAATTACCTATTTCTTATTTGTTTTTATAATAATATAAACACTCGCAACTTTTTCGCTCTAAAACTCCCGCTGCTTACGTTCAATCATCCGTCATCCACCTGTCAATGTCACATAGATTACTTTGGCTCTGGCCTCTGACGTTCCGTTTCAGGTTACATGATTATTGACTTTACCATTTTTAATTAATGGTGCGTCACACGATAGTTAACAGTCGGCCATCCTGCAATAGTGTCTGGCCCAGACACATAGGTAACTGATGAGCGTAGTCATGCTTATCAAAGGATATAGTGTCTACAGGATCATATAACAAATACTAAACTAAATAAACTAAAGATACACATTACTTTCATAACATTGACTATCTTAGTATACTGTCAAAGGTTTACAATCTAAAATCAATACTAACAGAGCTAAGTTTCGGCATGCATTAAGAAATGCACAAAATATAACATAACATATATTAATTTACATAATCCAAATCACCCAAAAACATGAACAACCTTTTAGAGTAACAAACAATTATTTTGCGGTGATTGACTTCTATGAGTCAGTCTGTAACATATCACCATTACAATGTAAGTTTCCGATCTTATTAACATTGCATTTTTTTTTTATACCTCCAAAATAGAACTTGACATTTCTCGTCATGAATATTTTAACGGATAAATTTAACATATCACATTACAAAAGGTAAAACTTAATTACCTACATATATAGAGAAAAAAATATAAAGGGAAAGTAATATTCTCGTGACATAAAATTAGAACAAAATCGCTGCCTGCCTTCACCTAACCAATAGAAAATAACAGGTCAATATTATTCAAGTGGTTCTAATACCCTCAATACTACTACTACTATTTTACTTCGACGATACTCTTGATTCACCAAAGAATTATTTTAATATAACATAATTCATTGAATTTCAGTTATGATTTACTTAATAATACCATCAGCTCACTGGTCAAGTAATCTATTGCACCCCTTGAACCCTGTACATTTAGGGGACTATAAATGATTGTAGATACTGATCTCAATTTTCTTTACAACACCAGTTTAACATAAACCAAAACCCACTGTTCCAGATTAATGTGAAATAGAAATAATCTTTATTCAAACAAACTCAACACAAGCACCCTTGAGTAGTCAAGTTCCTTGAATCTATCGCTCATTCGGAACGCAGTCTCATCACAAGAAGAATAAACGAGAAACCTGTGTGTTGCTCCTTTAAATAAATATTGATTTACTTATATTTAATTAACAACAAGGATTAGGCATGCGGCAATCAACATAAAAACCGCCACGCACCCAATCTCCGCTCAATCAGACAACATTGACAGCGCTATGAATTTCAAGTTAGATATTTTCTAAAAAAAACACTGATTTATAAATGATGACATTTATAAATTCTTCAATTTTATAATAAGCCTTTTTTTTTTTTACAAAGAAAATACTTTATGACACATTTGATTTCTTTTTCTGGCAAATTGAGTACAGACTCCGGGAGTCCGTTGCAAAACCCTGCGCAATCTCCATAAAACGAATTACCAACTTTCGTTAAACGAACGTGAGTTTAGTAAGTCTACTATTCACTTTATATTTAATCGATGGTATTCGTAGCCACTTCGGCCATCCAACGTTATCGAAGGGCCTCATTCGATATTATCATAACAGTTAACATCGGGTAATATAATAAAATTAAAATCATATAAAATTTAGTTTGAGATAATTTACATACTTAAAATATGAAAGTTGCCACTGACAACTACACATTACATTTCAACATCATGAATTCAGTCTTTGTTATATTTTCCCGCCTTAAGTTGTATCACTTAATTTTTCACACCAGGTACTAGTCAGCATCTCTGCAAACACGGCTGCCTAGCTAATTAGTGAAATACCTGTTAAAACAAAACATTAAAAAAATGCCACCGCTTGCGCACTATGAGCTACGGTCTCAACAGATCTGGATTTTATTAGACTCAGCCACCGCTTGCCCGCACAAGGAGCTACGGCCTCAAACTGGTCAAATTCTCATTAGACTCAGCCACCGCTTGCCCACACAAGGAGCTACGGCCTCAAACTGGTCAGATTCTCATTAGACTCAGCCACCGCTTGCCGCCACAAGGAACTATGGGCTCCAACTGAAACACATCAAATATTTAACAACTGGTCATTTTCTCAATGAGGCATTCACCGCTTGCGCACGCAAGGAGTTACGGCCTCCAACTGGTCATATTCTTTATGGTACTATGCTATTTTTACTTCAGCCTCAAGTGCTCTACATTGCAACTCAACTATGGGTTATATGCACTCCCATCAAAATTTACTATTATTATATTAATCTCATAATTTCATCAAAGTATTGCAAATCATTTTTCCATTGTCATATCAACCGCCCGTTCTATTAGCCATTTTGAATTATGAAATTCAGCTTGTCATCGATTGTAACTCATCATTGTATCACTAGCATTCCTTAATCTTTCAGATCTATTCGTTCATGTACAACTCTTCACCGCGTATATTTACCGACTATTTTCCATCGAGGTGTATCAAATTTTACCTTGTGATCGTCCTTACTACAATCTTGCAGTGTAACTATCTTGTACACCTCGAGCGCTTTATTCATAATATTTCTAAAGTGTCTGTATACGGTGTCTGGGTTCTATAAATTAGCACCTCTTCTAATTTCCCATTAATTACAACACATTTTCTAAAATATTCTGCGTATTCGGCTGTAACTTTCTGCTTACTAGCAGACCATGTTATCAAGCCATTAGTTATATTTAAATTCCAGACACATAAAATCAGTTCTGAAAGGATTAATTTCAATTTAAACTATTTAGTTTAGTTAGTACAATAGTCAATCCGATTTCTCCAAAGAGCGTTCAGCCACACATACAAGTGCATATAGGTGCTCAGACTAATCTATGGAATCAAATGCCCAGCATTTGATTGCGTTGATCATTACTTATAAAAATTTTAACTTAACCAAATA